CGCCTATTTCGCCAATAGTTCTTTCGCCAAAGTCTTCCGCCGCATTTCATCCTCGACTTAGTCGACCCCGCTAATTCTTTAGTGGACTTAGGCCAGCGGGCCTAACACTTGGTATCAGGAGCCTTCGTGGGGAGCGATTTCCAACGAGCGACCGTCGACGACGAGACTACGACGTCATCGTCCCGCGGTGCCGACTTGCAGACTTGGAGTCGTCGAGCCAACATGGACGAAACCATGAACGCTCTCCCCAACGACATGGGCAATGCGCTTGCTCAACTCATGCGCGAAGTCGAAGCGTTGACGCTGGAAAATCGTCAGGTACGGGCTGAAATGCAACAGCTTCGTGAATTCGCGTCAATTTCTCATGGTCATTTCGCACCATCTCCTGCACCCAACACGTCGACTGGCGCGGAAGCGCTGCTGGAACGTCGAAGCGTACTCAAGCCGCAGAAACCCGAGTCGTTTGACCCAAGTCAACGTGACGCGAACGTGCGGACGTGGCTCTTCATGCTGAACAACTACTTCGCCGCGAGCGGGGTGCAAGAGGCGGACGCGCAGCAGCGGATCGAGTACTCCGTTACGCCGCTGAGGGGCCCGGCCTTGGAGTGGTGGCGCCAACTCACGCAAACTGCTGTAAGAAGGGCTCAGACAGACGGGCATCAACAGGGCGTGGGGCATGCAGCTGCAACTTCGAGCTTAGGGAGTTTAGCTTTGGGTGTTACCACGGTTCCGACCACATGGGAAGGATTTGAAGCGGCGCTGAAAAGTAGGTTCGACTTGGTGAACGCCTCCGAAGCTGCTAGGAAGCGTCTGCGTCATTTCCGACAGATAGGAAACGTCCAGGAGTACACACGACGGTTCTTGAGCATTTGCAACGAGATAGACAACATCACGGAAGCAAAAATGCGCGATTGCTACCTCGAAGGGTTGAAGCCGGACATAGCAGAGGTCATAGCAATTCACGGGTTGTCCACCTTCGAGTCGGTAGTCGCAGCAGCAGAACGCGTCGACGCAGTACGAAGCCGACGGGGTCGTGACGATCGCGATAGGGGATACAACAGACCGATCAACGACGCTCGATCGAGGGACGGACCATCGCCCATGGATATTAGTGCAATTAACAGTGACGGCTCACAGAAAACGGGATTTAGGGGGAACTGTCACTACTGCAAAAAGCCAGGACACATGAAGCGGGACTGCCCACAGCTTAAGGAGCGGCAGCAGGGAAACGGAAACCGCCAGTAGATAGCGGGTCGCTAGCTGGTGTGCACGGTTCCGAACCCGCCACGTCTACCAACGTAGAGGAGACGGCCTTAGAGCAGTCACCTACGCCGAACGAGGTAGACACTGCTGATCGTCCAGTCGTGCTTCTAGGGAAGCTTCGTGGAGTTCCAGTCAAGATTCTCATCGATAGCGGAGCTAGCCACTCGTTCGTTTCATCTTCGTTAGTTAGTCGTCTCCATCTCGAAGCAGATTCGGCAGTCAACTTCAAGGACGCTCGCATGGTAGATGGGACGCCACTTCACATAGGACCAGTAATTCGCAAGTTGCGCGTGGTGCTAGGACCAATCACAGTTAGACGCGACTTCGACTCGGCGACGCTGGACGGTTACGACTTCATCTTCGGTAGAGATTGGTTGCGAACGGTTAGTACTTAGTTCGATTGGGCTCAAAGAAGCTGCAGCGTCAAGGTAGATGGCGAGTTCCGGGAGCTGCCACAGTGGAGCGATGGGGCCACATCCTCCACAGCCATCATCAATGATGTTCATGTGCGGCAGCTGGTGAAGCGAGCGGCACGGATCTTTGCGGTTTTCCTTGAGGAGGTGGAAGCTGAGGAGGGGAAAGGAGGGAGTGCAGCAGTTGGTGAGAAGGCGACTCTTCCTGCTGAGGTGAGTGCACTGTTAGCAGAGTTCGCAGACGTCTTCCCCGACGAGTTGCCCCCAGGGTTACCTCCCAGCCGAGCAGTAGACCATCGAATAGAGTTGGAGCCGGGGAGCAGGCCAGTAGCAAAGCCGCAGTGGAGGTTGAGTCCAGCGGAGACAGAGGAGATGACGCAGCAGGTTAGGCACTTTCTCGCGCAGGGGTTCATACAGCCATCTAGATCGCCTTGGGCAGCACCGATCCTCTTTGCGCCTAAGAAAGACGGAGGGTTACGGATGTGCATAGACTACCGCGCACTGAACGCCGCCACCGTCAAGAATAGATTCCCGGTGCCGAGAGTAGAGGATCTCCTAGATGCGGTGCAGGGCGCTAGAGCTTTCTCGGATTCGCAAATTACTACCGTCGTTTCGTTCAGAGTTACGCATCGATAGCTAGTCCACTCACCGACCTTCTTCGGAAGGGCGTGGATTTCGATTGGGGTCCAGCGCAGCAGCAGGCGTTTGAGCAGATGAAGCAGTCGCTCACGTCTTCACCGACACTGTCGTACCCAGATTCCACTCGCCCGTACGTTGTAGTGACCGACGCATCAGATCGGGCCATAGGAGCAGTGCTTCTTCAGGACCAGAGCCGCGGGGTGCAGCCGATAGCGTACGAGTCGCGCAAGCTTAGGGGAGCCGAGCTGAACTATCCGATCCACGACAAGGAGGCGCTCGCGATCATCCATGCGTATAAGGTGTGGAGGTGCTACCTAGAGGGGGCAGATAGTGTTATATGCACGGACCATTGCTCGCTTCGCTTTCTCAAGTCGCAGCCGCAGCTGAGTCGTCGCCAGGCTAGATGGACGGAGTTCATGGAGGGGAGTTTCCACTACAAGATAGAGTACAAGCCAGGCGTGCGCAACCCTGCTGATCCACTCACTCGCCCCAGTTGTCAGCTCGCTAGTCTCACAGTCACTGCCGGCCATCCACTTCTCACAGCACTCTTCGAGCACGGTTACACAGTAGATCCCGACTTCACACCGCAGCCGCCCGCAGGAGCAGAGGTGCAGGGTAGTGTCTACATACGGAAGGGTACCACACGGATTTGGGTTCCAGCCTACCGCCCTCTTCGACAGCTTCTATTCTCAGAGGCGCACGACGTAGTTAGTGCAGGGCACTTCGGAGCAGATAAGACGGCTAAGACGCTTAGTCGCACGTACTTCTAGCCAGGGCTTGCAGCAGACGTAGAGGATTACATTCGCTCGTGCGACACGTGTCAGCGTACGAAATCCTCTCGCCAGCACAAGGCCGGACTTTTGCAGCCGATTCCACCACCCGACCGCCCTTGGCAGGTAGTTACGATGGACTTCATCATGGCTTTACCGCGCACAGTTAGGGGTCACGACGCCATCTTCGTGGTAGCGGATAAGTGTTCTCGAGCAGCGCACTTCATCCCCACGCACGGCAAGGTCACAGCAGAGGAAGCCGCGACGCTGTTCGTAGATAACGTAGTCCGACTGCACGGGGTTCCAGATTCCATCATCTCGAACCGCGACCCTCGTTTCACCTCAAAATTCTGGAAGCAGCTTTTCGCACTGTTTGGGACTCGCTTAGCCATGTCGTCTGCGTACCATCCAGAGACAGGCGGACAGACTGAGCGTGTGAACCAGACCTTGGAGCAGATTCTTCGCAGCATCACGATGCACAACGCAACCGCATGGGACAAGAAGCTGAGCATGGCAGAGTTCGCCTACAACAACCCGCACCACTCCGCCACAGGCATGTCACCGTTCTTCGCACTGTACGGTCAGCACCCCAATGTCCCCACTCGTGTCGATCTCACACCCACAGTCCCTTGTGCGGACAACTTCCACCAGCATCTCACATTCATCCATGATCACGTGAGGAAGCACCTTGAGCTCGCAATGCACGCATGGCACGCACCACCAACCGCAGTCCTCGTGAGGTGTCGTTCGCAGTCGGCGACCGTATTCTCTTGGATAGCTGCAACCTCCGACTGCCACAGGACAGCAAGCTTCGCCCTCGCTTCATTGGTCCATTCATCATTGAGCGTGCACTAGGACCAGTCGCATACCGCCTCCGCCTTCCCGCTCATTTCCGCATGCACCCATCATTCCATGCGTCTCTTCTTCGTCCTTACACTGATCCCAACGCCACCTTCTCGGGCCGTGACCGCACTCCACTGCCGGTAGCTGTTGACACCGACGAGCCCGACTACCAGATCTAGCGCATCCTCAGGCACCGTCGCCGTCTCCAGGGGGGTGTCTCTTTCATCGACTTCTTGGTTCGTTGGCGTGGTTACGACGCGGCAGATGACAGCTGGGTTCCTTCGTCCTCGCTGTCTCCCGACAACGCTTGCCTCCAAGCGTACCTTCAACCCCATCCTTATCCTTATCTTTTCAGATTTCCTAGTGCCACGTGGCACTCTACCTTTCTTGCTTCTACTTTCTAGTCCCACGAAGTACTTTCCGACAATCGCTCTTGCATGCTATATCATCCTTGCTTGTATCCACCAATATCAACCAATTCTCATTCAACTCTTCTTCAATTACTCAGTAACTTCTTCGCCTATTTCGCCAATAGTTCTTTCGCCAAAGTCTTCCGCCGCGTTTCATCCTCGACTTAGTCTACCCCGCTAATTCTTTAGCGGACTTAGGCCAGCGGGCCTAACACAGAGCGGTAATTTTCCGAACTGTACGTTCGTTCGTACCCGGTTGTTCTAGCCAAGGGGCGCGCAGATGTCACCCGGCCCAGCCGAGGGGTGCGCAGATGTCACTCTTTTTTGGAAGAGTGCCTTTCAAACGAGAAGTGAGCCCTGGTCGGACGTGAAGGTCATCTACTATCCCTCTCGAATGCGGGGAGCCGATCAAGCCCAGCTGGTCGCGTGTGGATCGTCTGGTAATGCCGTCCTAGGAACCACCTCGCAACGTGAACACTCTAATTTTGTCAGGCCAGAACAGATGCTTCGGCGTTAAAAGAAGCCGAAGTTATAGACCTGCAGGAGTCCCCCCGTACTGACCGTCCCGCTCCTGCTCCGCGCATCTCCCGCTCAGGGCGATTCTGAGCATTTGCGAAAGTCGCTCCAGTTCCCCGCATGTCCAGCGCAAGAGGCGGTCAGCAATGGCTGTGGATACGGATTGGCGCTCACGAATCCGTCAGCAAGGGCTGTCGATAGGTATTGGCGGGTTCGTCGTGCTGCTGCTCGTGTGCGCGCCGCTGCTGCTCGAGCCGACTCGCCAGCTCTCCTCCACCATGCACATGCCTCCCGAGCCCGACCCCACCGCCGCTGCCTCCACACTGATCGACCAGCTCCCGGAGCCAGGAGCCCTCGCGACTCACATCGCCATCCAGCAGGTGGGAGATGCGATGTGATGCGATGTGATGCGATGCGATGCGATGCGATGCGATGCGAGGCGATGCGATGCGATGCGATGCGATGCGATGCGAGGCGATGCGATGCGATGCGATGCGAGGCGATGCGATGCGATGCGATGCGATGCGATGCGATGTGATGCTGCACTCCCACTATGTAATGCCCGCGGCGCGCTGCTTTTGAGTCGACTGTAAAGTGAGCTCCACACCGCTCAACCAGTTCCCACTGGGAGAACCAGGAGAGCGTGCCATGGCGCTTGCGACTGACATCGCCCTCCGGGCAGGAGCGCCATGCAATGCAATGCACTCCCACTTGCCACCTGTGCGCTGCTGATCTGTCATAGTCTTCGCGCCGCGGCCTGCCTCCTATTCGCCGCGGCCTGCCTCCTATTCGCCACTCCCTGCCTATTCGCCGCGGCCTGCTCGCGGTAGCACCTTCAACTTCGCGTTCCGTGCGTTACCGCTCGACTTGCCCGCTGAGGGAGCGGAGCTCCGAGCTAGCTGTGGTAGCTGTGCTGTGGGGTCACATATTTCCATCCGACTCGCGTGCTACATAGCCGAATGTGTGCCCATCCGTTTGCCGTTGTGTTGTGCCTGGCAGGCAGGCAGCGGCGACTCGGATTCAGGCAGAGCGGACAATTCAGAGGAGGTGCCACGACTCGAGGCCAATCCCAAGGAATCGACGCGACTCCAATACGATGCGTCTCAACACGTCTGCTGGTCCTCCTCAGGTACACCCTCCCCCCTCAGGCCCTCAGGTACACCCTCCCCCCTCAGGCTCTCAGGTACACCCTCCCCCGTCAGGCTCTCAGGTACACCCTCCCCCGTCAGGCCCTCAGGTACACCCTCCCCCGTCAGGCCCTCAGGTACACCCTCCCCACTCTGTCCTCAGGTACTACTCCCGCCCCCCTGCTGCTGCTTCCCCCCGCTGCTGTAACTCCCCGCTGCTCCTCCCCCCCCCGTGCCCCCTTCGCCCACGGCTGCCTTTCCCCGCTGCTTCCCCCCTCTGCCTGTGTGCCGATCGTGAGTGCAGCATGAGTCTGGTGAGAATTCTTAGGAGAAGCTTCATGATCAAACGTCCTTAAAGCTCAAGGCCCAAATTGCGCAAGATTACTAATCTTGCGCAAGGTGGAGTCCTGTAGGGTGGGGGTGGTGAGGTCAATGGCTCGTATGATTTCGCTGAGGCTGTGTTTGTTTCGCTGAGTCAGCGAACTTCTGGGGGCTGTGCCCAGTTGGGGACCTCGAGTCCCAAATTGCAGACTTAGGAAAGTTGGAGTTTCGGCGGGGAGTGTTGCTTCGACCAATCAGAATGTTTCGCACCTACAGTAACCGACTTTTCGTCCTATGACAGAACAAAAAACGCTAAGTCTGCAAGATTAGTAATCCTGCTCCGCGCGGCCCGCAATTTGGGCCTTGAGCTTTAAGCTTGCCAGAACGAGTAGAGCTATGATCACGTGATTCATGGCGAATCAATAGCCACTCCGCCCGCCCCATCCGCTCGTGTGATGTGAAGTGTGTGTGATGTGAAGTGTGTGGGATGTGAAGTGTGTGTGATTTGAAGTGTGTGGGATGTGAAGTGTGTGGGATGTGAAGTGTGTGGGATGTGAAGTGTGTGGGATGTGAAGCGTGTGGGATGTGAAGCTTGTGATGTGCAGCGCGAATCACGTGAAGAGTGTATGATGTGAAGCGTGCGGCTGGGGAATGCCTAGTCCAAGCATTGTGTTTAGTTTAGGTCGCACTTGCCAGTCACACCAGAGATTGGTTTCCCTTGGAGTCCCGCCTGCCCCGCTGCCACAGTACCTTCCATTCCATCCCACGTTGCCTGCCTGCCTGCCACGCTGCCTGGCTCGGTGCAGTGTGACGGCGAGAGGGGGCGAGGGCAAGGCAGCCGAGGTGAAGCAGGAAGGAGGAGGAGGATATGAATCATCCATTCCGTGTGCCCCAATCCCTCACACGACCCATTGCGGTTAGCAGCAGCAGCAGCAGCAGCAGTGGTGCGAGGGACAGGGGCAGTTGAGAGAGAGGTGCTAAGAGTAATCCCTCCGGTGTGCCCCCAACCCCTCTACCCCAATCCGCCGCAGATGCCCTGGTCACCCGCACCACACCAGGAGGAGCAGCAGCCCCCTCAGAAGCCGCAGCAGCCCCGGCAGCAGCAGCAGCAGCAGCAGCAGGAAGGGGAGTGGTGGTGGGCGGCAGGGGATGCAGTGGGTGCGTGCAAGGGGAGGAGTGCAGCATACACGTGTGGGTCATGCCGCCTGCTTATTGGGTCTCGCCCTTGGGGACCAATCGGAGTGACGGGGGTAGCATGGGTGGCAACAGCAACAGCAGCAATGACAACAGCAGCAACAGCAGCAATGACAACAGCAGCAACAGCAGCAATGACAGCAGCAGCAGCAGCAGCAGCAGCAGCAGCAGCAATGAGAGCAGCAGCAGCAGCAGCAGCAGTGAGAGCAGTTGGTTGAAGAACGACCTGACTCTGATTCTGGAGGGCCCGGCGTTGGGCAACGGGGACGTGCAATGCCTCGACCGCCCTGCCTGCTCGCACTACCTCATCTCCTACCGCCTCTGGGACGTGGGCACCTACAGGTACGTGGGAGGGTGCAGGAGTGAGGAATTACAGGCATGTGGGAAGGCGCAGGGGTGGGAAGTTGCGAGCGCATGGGAGGGTGCAGGAGTGGGGAATTGTAGTGTGGAAGGGCGGAGAGACATGGGGAATTACAGGTACGTGGGCTCGTTGCAGGGGATCACAGGTATGCTCGCTGCACGCGGGCCCTGTCTCTAATCCCCTACACTTTCACCTCTACGCCCTTCTCCCTTTTGGTCTCTGCCATTTTGCACGTGGACTGAGATACTCTTACCTTCTCGCCACTCCAATGGTGGCCTTTCCCACTCACACGCTTTCCCACTCACACGCTTTCCCACTCACACGCTTTCCCACTCACCCGCTCACGTGTCTACTGTCTGTCCTTCTCCCGTTTGACTACTGTGTCATGTTGCACACAGACTGTGATAATCTCCTCCTTTCTGACCACTTCAGCGCTGGTTTTTTCCACCCTTTCCCACTCGACCTTTCCCACTCGACCTTTCCCACTCAATATTTGGTACTCACTCTTTCCCACTCGACCTTTTTCACTCTATCTTTCTCACTCAACCTTTCCCACTCATCCTTCCCCACACGCCCTTTTCCACTCAAGCTTTCATACTCACCCTTTTGCATTCACCCTTTCACACTCACCCTTTCATACTCGACTCTTTCACACTCCGCCTTCCCTTTCACACTCAACCTTTCATTCTCACGCTTCCGTACTCAACCTTTCCGTCTCACGCTTTTGCACTCACCCCCCCATTACCACACTCTGTTACCCCTCCTCCTCACCCGCCTGCTCTCCCCATTCCAGTGCAATTCTCACCAATGCTCTCACCGTTTTGCCTCCCATTTGTAGCCTTCACCACCCTGTCTTACTCACCTTTCCAACTTACCCCCTCACAGTTGCTCTGCCACCCCCCTCACCCTCCTGCTCTCCCCATTCCAGCGCCACCCTCGCCGTGGGTTGCTCCAACCTCAACTTCTCGCCTGACTTTGCCGCCCATTTCAATTCCACCTTCCGCCATGACCTTGCCACGTGGAGCCTCTCTATTGGCTGGCCTGAGAAATCAGCTTCCGGGAACGTTCCTGCATCTGTCAGCGCAGCTGGTAACGATGCTCGTGATGGCGCTGCTGACATGGAGGCTGGGGGATTCGATGCCATGACGTCAGCTACAGCCTCCGCAAATACAACCTCCCCAGATACTACCTTCCCGGGCATCTTAGCCACACCCTGCACACCAGGATCCGTTCCTGGTCGTTGGAAGAAGGACAGCAGTGGCAAGTACACGTGAGTGTTCCCCATCTCACCTACTGTCATCCCATCTCACCTGCTGTCATCCCATCCCACCCGCTGTCGCCCCATCTCACCTGCTGTCACCACAGCTCATCTGCTGTCATCCCATCCCACCCGCTGTCGCCCCATCTCACCTGCTGTCACCACAGTTCACCTGCTGTCTCAACCCTTTTCACCCGCAGTAACCCAGTGATGCTGGATAATAGTGGACATATACGCGTCCCTCGTATATAACACCAGCGTACAGACACTAGAGTATACACGATAGATGCTGTTCTGTCCAGCCTATATACACAGGACATACACTTGCTCGGGCAGCAAACGACTTTTCTCTGGGCAGGGGAAAGAAAGTCGCTTAGCGGAGGAGGGAAAAGGGGAGAAGGCAATTAGGCTAAATCTAATGGTTACCTAAATCTGGCATAGACAATGGCCTGATTGCGCAAGCAAAATCCAACTCGACATTCACATTGCTCAATTCTCCCAACTGTTGGACCACCCCGAACCACACCTTACCGCATTCCCTCGTTACACACAATCGTTACACACAACCTACAGCACTCGTGTCTGCTTCTCACACATTTCTAATCCTCTCGCCTAGCCTAGCTCTCGTTGCAGCTACCGTTGAAATTCCTTGTGCCGAAATTGCGAATCACGAGCAGCATGTATAGGAGCATCCAGCATTTAGCGTATAAGCGCCAAACCGTACACGTCTCTCTCGGAATCCCAGCCACTAGACCACTGGGATAAAAGGGTTTTTTAAGTAACGAATCCGTGTGTCCAGGCGAACGCGCATGTAACCTTTCTCTAGGATCAATCGGGGATCCACAGTGCAGGTATTCTGACAGTTAGTTTAGACTGAAATTGACAGAGTCATCCCCACTTGTGTGACATCCCATGTCCAAAGACCTGTTTATTCCCGTCCTGTCCCATGCACACAAGGGCCATTCTCCCTCCTGTATCTCTTTCACTCATCTCCCCTCCACTCCTCCGCTCCACCATCTCCCCTCGGCCCTCTCCCCTCCACCCTTCCCCGCCATTCCCTCCCCTTCCCTTTCAACCCCTCCCCTCCAGCTGGACTTTCTTCCCCTGCGCACCACCATTATCGCCTCCCAGCCGTTGGATCTCGGATCTACGGCGCAAGGGCATTGAGGAGATCAACATAGTGGGGGACTCGCACCAGCGAGTGCTGTCAAACCACCTGCACTTCCTGCTGTCGGGGAGCACAGGGGACGTGCTGCCCGATCCGCGCTTCAACTACACCTTCCACTCCCGCAACGCAAACCAGGAGGCGTTCCGAATCAACTATTATTGGGTCGATGGGATCTTCCGCAATGGGGAGTTTGGTTGTGGGTGAGTGTGTGGCGGTGGAGGGGTGTTGTTGTGGGTGAGTGTGGTGGTGGGTGAGTGTGGCGGTGGGTGTGGCGGTGGGTGAGTGTGGTGTGGCGGTGGGTGAGTGTAGCGGTGGGTGAGTGTGACGGTGGGTGAGTGTGGCGGTGGGTGAGTGGCGGCGGAGTGAGTGTGGCGGTGGAGTGAGTGTGGCGGTGGAGTGAGTGTGGCATTGGAGTGAGTGTGGCAGTGGAGCAAGTGTGGCAGTGGAGTGAGTGTGGCGATGGAGTGAGTGTGGCGGTGGAGTGAGTGTGGCGGTGGAGTGAGTGTGGCGGTGGAGTGAGTGTGGCGGTGGAGTGAGTGTGGTGGTGGAGTGAGTGTGACGGTGGAGTGAGTGTGGCGGTGGAGTGAGTGTGGCGGTGGAGTGAGTGTGGCGGTGGAGTGAGTGTGGCAGTGGAGTGAGTGTGGCGGTGGAGTGAGTGTGGCGGTGGAGTGAGTGTGGCGGTGGAGTGAGTGTGGCGGTGGAGTAATGCCATCTCAACCTTCTCCTTAGCCCCTAATTCGTCTCCCCCCGCTGAACCCTTTGGTCATTCCTTATCTGTCCCTGCATCACAGCACAGCATTTTAACACCACATTCCCCACACCTGACTTCACTGACTGCGCTGACAACATGCATTGCCAGGAAGAAATGCTAACAGCCTTTCCATTCCTACATCTGCCCCCCCCATCCCTCTCCTTCCCCCCGCCCCCTCCATTTCCCCCCCCATCCCCCCCGTCTTTCCCTTCACCTACCGCCCTTTCTTTTCCCAAGCCCCTTTCGCAAATACCTGACCAGGCAAAGAGGCAACTACACCCCTCAGAACACCATCATATCCCACCACCATCTCCTTTCCGCCCTTTCCATGACCTTCCCTTCATTCTGCAACACCCCAACAGCGACAGAGGCAAGGCCAGCAAACGCACCGACGCATTCCCAGCCGTCCTCTCTCGTACAGCCGACGTCACCATCATGAACGCCGGCGCTTGGACGGATAGGTACTGCGCAGAGCCAGTCCAAGCCTTCCGAGCTCACCTCCCAGAGTTTGCCGCCCAAAACGGCAAGCCGCTGGTGCTACGGACGGCGACGCCGGTGCCCAATGCAGGCATGCATTGCATGCATTACAGCAGCGTGTCTGTCGGCCCCTCCACCAACCTGGCGCTCATGGAACTCAATCGGTTGATGCGCGATGTGGCTGCTGGAAAGAGTTCCCAATCCCTGTCCCACCTGTCGGTGCCGTCGGTGCTGGTTTTTGACGGGTGGAGGATTGAGGCGCCTCGGTATTTGGACAATTGCTATGAAGACCGGCATTACTCGTGCTTTGATAGGCCGCACTTCTGGAGTGGAACTGTGGCTGGAGGGGTGGTAGGGGAGGCTGTAGTTCGCGGACTTGTACATTTCCTGCTCCACGAGTTGTGAAGTTTTGACATACCGGTACTTGTACAATAGGCTTTTTTTTCTTGTTGAGATCTTTTTTTTTTTTTTGTGTTACATTTCAGTACTTCAATAGTCTAAGCAAAGGAATGTCGTATTGGAAGATTTTGTCAAACTGTATCGTATCTGTTACACTATGCTGTTACATTGGGTAGCCTAGGTTATGGTTGACTATTTGTACCCGTCTCCCGCATGCAGCCGCAGCCGCGGCTGAGCAGCACCCCCAGAACCTCCAGGTCTAGAGCCTCCAGCACCAGAATCACCATCACCTCCACCTCCACCTCCAGACCTCCAGCACCAGAACCACCAGCACTTCCACCTCCAGACCTCCAGCACCATAACTACCAGCACCTCCAGCTCGAGCACCTCCAGCACCAGAACCTCCCGCACCTCCAGCTTCAGCACCCTCAGAACCTCCACCAACGGACCCAGGAAGTGGCAGCGACGACTGCTGCTGCTCCCATAACAAGGGCCGTCGCGGCAGAGGGTGCAACGCACCCGCAGTGCCAACAGCAGTAGTACCCTCGGCTCCACCACCACTACAACGCTCACCCCCAGAACCAACATGCCCAGAAGCAGCACCCCCACAACCAGCACCTCCGGAGTCACCACCCTCAGAGCCCTCACCTCCAGCATCACCACCCCCAACCGCACCAGAGTCCACAGCGACAGGCTGCAAAGGTGGCGAAGACGGCCAAGGCCGAAAACCAAGAGGTGTCTTAACGCGCAGAGAAGGGCGAGAGACCGCCGTCTCGTCAGCAGCAGGGTCACCCTCCTAGCCGGGCAAGCGGGGTCTGAGGAGACCTCCACAGGCTCAACCAAGGGAAGGTGGTAAGACCTGAGACACACCTGAGGGAGCAGGACGCGAAGAGGGGGGGGAGGGGGTCTATTGGGGGGTAAACTGGAACCAGGAAAGGGGTGGGGGGGGGCACCTGGGAACTGCGGTGGGGGAAGAGATGGTAGTAGCAGGCCGACTTGTCAAAGGTCACGTCTCGGGAGGACAGGACGTGAATCGTGACCGGGTGGTAAAACTGTCAGTCAGGCGCGTCGTCAGGAAAGCCAAGAAAGACGCAGCGAATGGTGCAAGGGGAGAGCTTGCCCGCGGTGTAATTGCGAACAAGGGCAAGCGAACCTCATACCCGAAACATCACCGCATCGCCAACCTCCCCTGTCAAAAGCAGGGTAGGCAAGGTATCCGGCTAGGAGACACGGGGCCAGAGGTTGAGTTGATGCGCGCGGCGTATCGGACTGCAAACGACCGCAGAAAAGGGGGGGAGAGGCCGGAAGCGTGAACGACTGAACGATGCCCTCCTTATGATAAAATTCCCCAAGGAGACAGGAGAAAAACCCACCTCTACGCTCAGAGTGCAGACGGAGCACCAGGAGGTCGTGGTGGAACCGTGCGCTCAGGTGGCAACAAACAGCGCGAATTCAAGGGTACAAAACAGCACAGTGGTCTCCCTTGCGATGCAAGGGAAAATCAGTGGTGTAGCGCGTCAAGTCGTTAACGGCCGGTAGAAAGTAGCGCTCCTGGTGTGGCCCAGAGACGGGGGAAGGGCCCCACACGTCCTGTGCAGCGTCTGCAGAGGAGCAGTGGTCGGAGGAAACGAGGAGTGAGGAGCGACGTGCTGCCGCCCCTCAACGCACGGAGTGCACGGCAGCACAAGCGACCGAAGAAGTGGGGGCAGGGACCAGAGCAGTCCAGAGACAAGGAGACAGGAGTGCATGCTGCAGAGGCGCGGCAGGGAGGGGTGACCAAGACGGTGGTGCCAGAGGAGAGACGGATGCATGAACAACCGCCACAAGCAAAACACAGCTACCTGACCAGACGCGGCCATCTGTGCAGACTCAGTGCGCAGTGTGTACAGGCCAGACCCAGGCCTCCGAGTGAATGTGGCGAGGTGGTCGCCAGTCACTGTGTCCGTACAGATTGCCACGAGCTCGCCCCCAGGAGTGGTGGTAGTGACCAACATATCATGGAGGACAGAGGTACTTACCAAGTTCGTAGCGAACGACGGGAGGTGGAAACTTGTGAGGTAGCCGAAGGGGGCTGCCGGACACGGGAGAACAGTGGAGCCGCGTGCAACGACTAGGCAGAGGAGGGGTCGGCCAGGGTGACAGGGACAGGTGCTGTGAGTGGTGTGACTGTAGTGCAGTTGCGGAAGAAGCACCGAGACGCGTCAGATTCCATCGTGAAGGTGTGCAAAGCCTCCGCAGGAACCGAGCTAGTAGACTCACAAGCACCTACACTCGCCTTCTCGACACATGGTAGTGAGGTCAGCTGCTGTTGCTCCCAGAACAACATACGCTACCACTGCTGTTGCTACTGTTTCCCACCACCATAACCTCCACCCCCATACGGTAGCGACTACAGGTCGGGGAGGAGAAACGGCAGCGCAAGATGGCCTAGGGTGGCAAGAGAGATGGAGGAGTATTGCTTAACCACAGCGTCGTAGAAAGTATGGGCCGATGTCACCTGGCAAAAATGGGCCCTCTGGGCGAGAGATAGGTGAGTGTGGGCAGCAAGCTGGCCGACAGAGTCGCGTGCCGTCCATCGTGTGTAGGCAATGCGGTCTACCCAGTACCGCCGCGGCACTTCATCCCCAGCGTTAGCAGCAACCTCAGTTGGAGTTGTGGGGGGCTGAAGGGACCCCGACATGTGCTCGAACAGGGAGGCGCCATCCAGAATGAAGCGTTGGAGATACATGTGCAGGCGCTCAAGCCACGAATCAAACTTGAGAGGGCGCTCATCTGCGTCAACCGCTAGGACAGTAATAGTGGCCATGACAGGAACTAGGTCAAGCTTCAGTAATAGGAAGTAGCTTGCAGATCTAGGCACCAGCGGCAGTTCAGGCGCAGTGGAAGAACGAACAGCACGGCAGTAGGTGAGTATCTCAGGAGCAGACAGAGTGGTAGCGTGGCCTAGCGCGGCAGTAGGCAGCGCGGTGCGGCAGCAAGGCAGCACGCAGCGGCAGGGCAGCGCGTGCGGTAAGGCAAGGCAGCACGCCCTGCAGCAGGGCAGCGGGGCGCGCAGGGCAGCGGGGCGCAGTGGGCGCGCAGGGCAACGGGGCTCGCGGTGCAGCGGCGAGCAGGGCAGCGGGGCACGCTGGGCATCAGGGCGTGCTGGGCAACAGGGCGCGCAGGGCAGGCAGGTGCCCGGTGCAGTGGCGCGCAGGACAGTGGGGCGTCCGGTGCAGTGACGCGCAGGAGAGCGGGGCGCGTAGGACAGCGGGGCAGCGCGTGCGCCAGAAGGGCAGCGGGGCGCACAGGGCGCGCAAAGCAGCGGGGTGCACTGGGCGCGCACGACAGCGGGGCATGCAGGACATCGGGGCGCGCTGGGCGCACATGGCAACGGAGCGCGCTACAAGCCATGAAACCAGAAACGAAGAAATATGATAGGAAAACTAGAATTTACTTATAAGATTGTTTGTTCTTGCTTGTTTCTAAAATACAACTTGAGTGGATATTTTTCCTTGTACTACTGCACGTGCGCTGCCTGCTCTAAAAAATTGGACTTCGCCAAAGACGAGACATCTGATGCTACACTCTTGTCGCT